CACCCTCCTTGCGAACGTCCGCATGTGCCCTCAACTCCCACCCTTCCCACCCTAAATGGGCGGGAAGGGTGTGAGGTGCGGGTGCTGTGGGCGTGATGGGACCCCAGGAAAGTGGGTGGGTCCCGGGGCCCCGCCCTCTGCCCCGCGTGACCACGCCCCCTAACCTGGTGTCTCTTGCAGAATGCGGCCGCTGTGCCTGACGCTCCTCCTGCTGCTGGCTGCTGCTGCCGGCGCTGACAAGCTATTCCCCGGGCCCCCAGCAGGGAGATCCTCTAACAACTTCCAGCAGGCCCTGGACGGCTACCTCCCTCCTTTCGGGGATGACGTCTGCACTCCAGTCTATGTCACCACCACCTACACCTCCACTGTGGTGTCCACCCGTGGCACCATAGCCACCTCCACCGTCACCAGGACGACTGGCTCTACCACCTTCACTACCTTGGTCGTCCCAACCACAATCACCAGGACTCAAACAGACGGTACACCGGTAATTAGGACTGAAACTATCAGAGATACCACGACAAGTCAGGTGGTGAGTACCTTGTCAACTACCGTCGCGGGATCAGGAGTCACCAGGACGACTACGCGCACCATCAGCGTCTCGGAGGATGTCACGGTCACCAGAACTTCCACGGTGAAATCATCTCTCACCACAAACATATTCGTCGTCAGAACAAACACAGAGACGTCTGTGCTGCCGACGACGGTCACCAGGACGAGCGACCAAGTGGTGACCAACACGGTGCCCATCAAACCTCCCCCAGTCGTCGTCACCAGGACCACCACCTCTGTCACTCAGTCGACAGTCCAGACACAAGGGCCGGCGACCACGGTGGCAAGAACTGACGTGAAGGTGACGACGGTGGGCACCGCCAGAACCTCCCAGCCTCCCCCTTCCCTGGTGACGGTGACCCGCACCACCAGCCAGGTCATCTTCACCACCATCACCACCACCAAGGTCACCGACAGTGTCACAGTGCAAGAGTTGGTCGTCACCAAGACTGTAGTAAACACTAAGTACCTCACTGAGACTCTGCTGGTGAGTGTCACCAAGGTCACCACACTGGAGGTAGGCAACACCATCACCAAGACTGTGGTTACCACGCAGGTCCGTCCCACCACAGTCGTCACCACGCTGACGCTGACGACGACGAAGGGAGGACTTGACCGCACTCTGACGTCCACTTCGCTGAGAAGCGTCGTGACGACGTCCACGGTACCCGGGCGGGTGGTGACGGAGAAGGTGGTGAGCACCAAGATAGTGGAGAGCCCGCGGTACATCACAATCACCGCCGTCAACACCATATTCACCACCGAGACAGAGAAGGAAAAGTGCCCCACAACTGTCTACAACTACCAGGCTCCTGCAATTCCTTTCGGGTTCCCCTAACTCCGGGAGATCCTTTACCAAACTAACAAGAGACGCAAACTTACCCCAACAAAGAGACACAGGGAAAACACACATACACTCCAGTTAACACAATGAAAGCCGAGAGAGCCCGTCTGCCAGATTTCAACTTTTCCTGCAAATATATTTCACTAATTATATAAATGCACACCTACCCTTTGGTTCAGGGTATAATTATTAGTCTTTATTTATTTACAAACGTTTTCAGAATTCTCAACATTCAAGTCATTGCTTATAGATATTGTCATTAGTTTATCTTTGACGAAGAGGGCGCGTCTGTGGTGTTTTGTTGGTCACTGACCACAGACTACCACCTCGTAGTTAACACCAGAGAACAGCTTCCTACGATGGGTGAGACCCCCGATGTACCCCAGCACCCAAACTATGCAACACCAAGACCCAGATTGTGCTCCACCACTATCACCAACACCCATCCCAATCACTTGGGCTGGACGGTCTCGCTTCAAGGAGGTAACCGTTCAATCCCCGACCGTCCAAGTGGTTGGGCACCATTCCTTCCCTTCCCCCCGTCCCATCCCGAATCCTTATTCTGACCCCTTCCAATAGTATATAGTGCTACACAGTCGTGAATATAGTGATGTATAGTCGTAAGAGGCTTGGCCCTATCTCCTGATAGTTCCCTTCCCATATCACCCTCCCCCCCACCCAAACTGTGCTCCACCACTAAGAAACGTATACTTCCTCACACATGCTCGTCTGGGCTACTTGTTAGGTATTTTGAGCACTGAAACACAAATACATAGCAAAATTATTTATGGCATGAGTCTTAATACATCACTTGGATTTTATCGATATTATAACTAGATAAACAAATTTGTGTAAAATAAACCATGACCCGGAAGAGTAGTGCTTTCTTATCCGCTCAACACAAGAGTAACTATCCGTAAAACACAATTGTAGAATGTCTTTATCTGTACGGCACATGGTAAGTGTTGGGCAGTCGACCCCCCTGTAAGGGTTGAGTGATTAGTGTGATAACTGCTCTATATATGGCTCCTCATGCATAAAGATTATTTATTTAACTGTTGTTGCAGGACGATGCGCACTCTGCTGCTAGTGCTGGCGGTGGCTGGGCCCTGCCTCTCTGCCAAGCTCCCCACCATCCCTGGCATCCCTCCAGGCAGCGGTAGGCAGGTTTTCCCAGAGTCCTCCAACGACCTCTCCTTTGGAGGGCAGGACTTCCTGGGGTCCTACCTGCCACCCAAAAACCCCCCATGCGACCCAGTGACGGAGACGCAGGCGGAGACCACGACTGTCACCTCCTACAAGGACCAGCCAGGGTCTACCGTCATCACGGAGTTCGTGACGCAGACGGTGACCAGCACGAAGAGAGAAGTATCCACATCTTTCACCACTATCGTCACCGGTGGGGGTCGCCCCTCCACCACGTACACCACTCTCCTCTCAACTAAGTTCATCACCATCATTCAGACGGACGTCATCACCCGCCCAGGAGACGTTGCTACTGTCACCGACACAAGGACGCAGGTCAGCACAAACACCCAGGTCATCACACAGGTGTCCACCATCATCAACACCATAGGCAAGACCATCACCAGCACCCAGGTCACCACAGCAGTCCTGACCACCACCTACACCCAGACACGCACGCAGACAAGTACTCAGGTGGTGACCATCACCCAGCCGGGTGTGACCAGCACCCAGGTGAAGACCAATGTTCAAACTACTCTAGTGACCCGCACCTTGCCGGGCGAGACCCGGTACACCACGCTCACCCAGGTCTCCACCACCTACGTCACCAGCGTCATTACACTCCCGGCCGTCACCTCGACGGTGATGCCGACGCTAGTCAACACCATCAGGAGTACTGTGGTGAACACCGTTGGCAGTATAGTTGTCAGCACCAAAATCCAGACCCGTACCCAACTGGAGACCGACATAACCACACAAATCACCACCCAGCAGCTGCCTACCACCATCTACCAGACCAAGACAGTGTCTTCGGTCTTCACCACCACCAGCTACACCACAGACCTGGTGGTGTCGACGGTGGTGAAGGGCACCACCCTCACCACCACCGTAACAGGCGGCGGCTCAGACAAAACTGTTTACGTGACCAACACTGTCACTTCCACCGTGATTCAAGACGGCGGCGTCAGCACCACGCAGGTAGTGAGCATTGTCACCCGCACCGATGTGGTCACCAGCACCGTCACCAGCACGCGAATTGAGACGGGAACCAACACCATCTCCCTGCCCTGCACCTCCACGGCCCGATACAACTACGACAAGCCAAAGGTTGCCTTTAACTTCGCAGGTTAAGATCCACAGGAATGACTGGTCACCTGGTGGGACTGGCCAGTCACCTAGCGCGACTAGTTAGTCACCTAGAGGGACTAAGCTAGTCACCTACTAGGACTGGGTAGTCACCATCTAGCCCCACCATCGCCACTAACATATCCACACATTCCCCACTGATAAAATTGCACATACAACTCAAGCAAGAAATGACTGACATCAAATTGTTTTAAATAATAAATTACCACTGTAATAGTGCTGATGAAACAGCAATATATATATATATATATATATATATATATATATATATATATATATATATATATATATATATATATATATATATATATATATATATTACTCTAGTATAATATATTAAATTTAAGTAAGTGAATTTCCCCTTTACACATATTTACGGCAGGTTTCTAATTAATTTTCTAAAGAGGAATGTATACAGATATCCGTCCAAGCTAAAAGAATGTATTTCTTGATATTTATAACATGAGCAAAACAGTTTTAAAAAACACGTTCTAAACATACCTTTGAGGTTTTCCATTCCCTTGGTGACCACAGACCAGCAGTTCTGGCCCACGAGACTCCTGCGGGCAACCAGACGAGGGTGATGCTAAACTTCCAAAGTACCTGACCTCGGCATGACACTGCGTCCGCTGATTTAGCTTTTTAAGTTAAATCAGCATATCATGTTCTTGATAAACGATACATGCTGACAAGCTTGAAAAATAAGCTCAGGTACTCAGGAGTCAAATTATTTCCAGCTTATAAAAAGACTTATAGAAGACCTATATAATAATTATACATCTGTTTTAATATCTGGCCCTGTCTCACTGTCTCTGCCTTCTGTCTGTACCTCTCTCTCTCTGTATGTCTGTTTCTCGCTGTGTCTCAGTATGCATGTGTTTATCACAGTGTCTTTCTGTTATTTTTTTTTGTCTGTGTGCCTCTGTGTTTCTCTTTCTATATGGGTCTGTGACACATTTTTCTTTGTATGTCTCTCTCTCTGTATGTCTGTATCCGTGTTTCTGTCTCTGTGTCTCTCTTTCTTGCTGTGTCTTTCTTTGTCCCTGTGTATGTCTGTCGGTCTTTCTGCCTGTCTGTTTTGTTTTCGTCTATCTGTCTCTCCATGTTGCTCTGCCTGTCAGTCTCTCTGGCTCTGTCTCTCCTGGTAAACATGCCTTAAGCCTTAACTAAATATGAACCATCTTCATTCCTTCTTAGATAAAAAAATTAATACAATAAAAAGTTTACTCAGGTAAAAGTACATACATACAAGATGAGTTACAAACAGAATGTTGGATGTCTAAATAGAGCTAGTACATGCTAGCTCTAATACGCACAATACGATCTAATACGCACAATACGCTCTAATACGCACTAGTGGCCTAAAGCTACTAACACCCCACAGCGTTTCGGGCAAGGACAGACCTTCAAAGGACCATAAACAACTTACTACACACGGCAACTTTCATGTAAGTTTGCCAAGGAAAATAAACCGAGGAAGCAAGATCCCGCAAAAATAGAAAATAAAAACAAGGACCTCGTCAACACAGCGAAACAAGAGTTAATTTCGTTCATTTATTATGCACCCCATACCCATCTTGTGGGCGGTAGTGGAAAGGGTTACAGAGGCACATAATGTGCTCAGGGAGTGAACCCCACAATTCAACACGAGACTCTTGAGTTGGACATTCAATTCTAACTCACTAGTTCTCCCTAGAGGATTGATATTTTTCTCCTCATTTGTACTACATTGTGATGTATAGCAGGTGTGTGCGCGCGCGCGCGTGTGTGTGTGTGTGTGTGGTGTATACACTGCGAAAAAATGCACAGAAACGAATCGCTGTCGTAAGCATACTCAACTGCCAGGGGTATGCAACTATGCATCATGAGAGAGATGAGAACGCTATATGTAAGAGACCTAGATACAAATGTAACAAAAAACTAGATAATGATGCCCAGGTAAATAGTTTTTGTTTTATATTACCTGTTTTATGGTTTGCTGCACAGCCGTGTTCTCTTGACACTTTACTTTGATAATTACTTTATATGAATTGTAACTTATGGATAGATATTAAATCTATTAATACGTTACAAGTTCTAGAGTTTGGCTTTGGCCCAAGATGTGCAAATCTACCCATCGAAACAACGTTGATTCAGATTATTCACATAAGGACAACTCTATTCACATAAGGACAACTCCAAAAGTTTTTACTACTTTAATTAAATAAAGAAAAAAACATTAACTATACAAGAATGCAATACAAAATTATTTATTGAGACTTACTGATGCAATTGGTTCATCAGCCATGCAGTTGTGATAAACAAAATGAAATATAATAACGTGAGAAGGACATTTTACTCCCCAACGAGGCAACTGGGGGTCAGATATAAATAATAATTCCATCACGGAACAAAATACATATATATTTTACTGTAACTCAGGAAATAAAAGTACTATTAGGCTCCCCTCGCCTGCAACAAATTAATTATTAGTCTATAACAAAACAATGTCACCGAAATTATCATAAAAGGAAAATAAAAATAAAATGCTGGTAATAAACACACACAAATATATATTATATATAATATATACGAGAGAATGTCTGTCTGTGTGTTCAAAATAGGTGACAGATGTTTGAGGATAGCCTCACGAAAGTTTGCAGAGTCTGGGCTGGTCTGGGCTACGGGGTGGTCATAGGGTGCCTGCTTGATGGGGTTCTGGGAGTTCCTCTACTCCCCAAGCCCGGCCCGAGGCCTGCTTGACTTGTGAGAGTTTGGTCCACCAGGCTGTTGCTTGGAGCGGCCCGCAAGCCCACATATCTACCACAGCCCGGTTGGTCCGGCACTTCCTAAAGAAAACTATCTAATTTTCTCTTGAAGATGTCCACGGTTGTTCCTGCAATATTTCTTATACTCGCTGGGGGGGGGGGGGGGGGAGTTGAAAACCGTGGATCTCTGATGTTTATGAGGGTGGTCGTTTATATTCTAATTTTCTCTTGAAGATGTCCACGGTTGTTCCTGCAATATTTCTTATACTCGCTGGGGGGGGGGGGGGGGGGGGGGGGGGGGAGTTGAAAACCGTGGACCTCTGATGTTTATGAGGGTGGTCGTTTATCGAGTCCCATGGCCCACTACTTTCCGGGAAATGGTTACCTTGAGATCTTCTTGAGATGATTTCGGGGCTTTTTAGTGTCCCCGCGGCCCGGTCTTCGACCAGGCCTCCACCCCCAGGAAGCAGCCCGTAACAGCTGACTAACACCCAGGTACCTATTTTACTGCTAGGTAACAGGGGCATAGGGTGAAAGAAACTCTGCCCATTGTTTCTCGCCGGCGCCCGGGATCGACCCCGGGACCACAGGATCTCAAGTCTAACGTGCTGTCCGCTCGGCCGACCGGCTCCCCTCCCTGGTAATTCCATCAATTTCCAAGCTCGTTTAATAACAAAAATTACGTCCTCACTAAGATTCATCTAACATATTATATATGATTGGATGGAAGGTGATGAAGGTAGTGCTAGGAAGATAAAGAGAGAGAGAGAGAGAGAGGGGGGGGGGTGGATAGGGAAAGATATCAGAAAGGGGGGTGGGGGGAAGTAGGAAAGAAAGAAAAGAGACCCGGGCGAAGCTGGTAACCTCTCCCAGAATAATATAAATGGGTGCCTCCTGGCCACCTAACACCGCTCCTGTGCCAGGTAAGTCCACTACGGGCTCACCATAGCCCGTGCTACTTGGAACTTTTTGTTCCTAGTAGCTGAATCTATAACAACAAATCCTGGCCACCAAAGTCAACTCAAATCGCCACACAAACATTACTCTGCCTCTCTTGGGTTATAAACACAGCATGTGGCCACTCTCCACGTGGCGCCATGAACATTACCACCACGCGGCCTTCTATTCTCCAATAAAACTTTCACGATAAATAAACTTAAAAAGGTAACCTCTTTATTGTCAACTTAAAATCTGCATGAGTTTAGCCATCTCTTAAACGCAGTTGGGTCGCAAGCCGATAGGTCCCGGGTTCAATTCCTAGGGAAGGGCAGAAGCGTTTGGCCAATGTTTTCTTTCACCTGATGCCGTTGTTCATCTAGCAGTAAATATGTATCTGAGAGTGTTGACCAGACCACACACTAGGTGAAGGGACGACTACATTGTCGTCCCTTCACCTTCTAGTATGTGGTCTGGTCAACATGTATCTGAGAGTTAGACAACTGTTGTGGATTGCATCCTGGGGAAGGTCAGCATTTTGGCCTAGAGGAACCTCGATAGGCCTAGGCTTCCTGTCCCCAACTGTGGGAAAATATTTCACTACTTAACCACTGAATGAATGTGAAATGATGGCAACTCACCCACACTAAGATAGTTAACGTTTCCTTAATAAGTATACCGTCTCACGGAGTATCCTCAAGTATCAGTATACCTCCTCAGTTTACATTAACGTAGCGCACTGCTCGCAATGTGCCATCCTCATCGTCTCCGTTGTTGCAGAGAATTGCAACGAGTTGCTTGCTAAAGACAAGCAACCCCAACACACAGAAATGAAATGAAGCTAACAACATTTCGGTCCATCCTGGACCCTGTCACGCCTTGGCAAGGTCCTTGATGGACCGAAACGTCGTCAGTTTCGTTTCCTGTCAAATGTGTGGGTTGGGTTATTGCTCCGTTGTTACTTCAGGGAGGATGACTTGGCCAATAATGTCGGGGAAACCCTTAAGATTTCCTTGGTGTTAGCGGTGCGGTTGTCTTCGTCGACTGTTGAGGCAGCTTCTGGGTTTGGATTGTATAACACTTTCATTTAATGAAGGTCAGTGTTGCTCATTTATGGAGCAGATCACCCGGTAGCATAATAGACGATGGGTTGTTTCAAGCGTAGGTTAGACACATGTATGGGTGTATTTTGTTAGGTATAAAGAGACGCTGTCTCGCACAGGCCAATAGGTTTTCTTTATAATTGTTAGTAGAGGAAGAACTTAGTTCCTATGCTCTTCCAGTTTCAGTCTGGGGGAAATTTTTAATTTGGGTTTGTGACTTTAGAGTTTAGAGAATCTAATAATATTTTGCACCAGGTATTACTTTATCTCAACATATGCTGGAGATCAACAGCATCTCCTTATTTGCAAAAAATATGGTGATCAGGTCACCATATTCGAATGATACAGAATACATTCAATACTAATAAATAAAACCCGCAGTATTTTGGAAGTAGGTTTGAAATTTGGTTTAATGTTAGGCTTAAGCTTAAGCCAAACAGCGGGTTAATAAGGGTACCACAATAACTTATTGACCTATCAGGAAGTACACGTTCGCCCAGAGCGTATGTCAAGACGAAAGTTAACAGTGTATATACATTGAAAAGCAGGGCAAACCTCTTAATGATTATAATTCTTCTAAGAGGTTGAAAACCCGCCATTAGTAAAGACTAAGAGTACTACACAGACAAGGAAAATAAGTTAAGGCGTTTACAATGATACACTGTCAATTATAAAACCTTTTTTCTTCCAGTAAAACATCAACAGGAGAACGTA